CCGACTGGGGGCTCCTAAATAAGCCTCCGACGCCGGTGCACGGAGCGCGTCGCTCGGCCCAAGCGCGTTCTTCCCGTCCCTGCGTCTCCATCCTGTCTCTGTCGCCCCCGCCGCGCCTCGGTCCTGTCTGCTGGGCTCTGGTCTCTCTAGCGCATCCCCCAGTCTCTCTAGAATTCTCTCCCACTCTCCCTCCCCTTCGCTCCCCTTCTCTCCTTCTTCTCCCCGGTTCCTTCTCACCTAACCCCTTCCCCTTCTCCTCCCTGTCCCTCCCAAATTCTCCTCTCTGGATCATCTGCTTGCCCCATCTCCCTGTCCCTGTCATCGCTGTGAAGATTGGAACTTTCCATGCACCTCGGGGTCCAAGTGGCAGACCCATCTCCCTCCCTTACACACACACGCACACACACACAGGCTCACACTCCTCACGGGTCTCCTCCCCAGATGTCTCAGGGGGCCAGCAGGTTGGTGCTCCCCAGAGGGAGCAGCTAACTGCTGGCGAATCGCTCCCCTGCGCCCTTCTTCTCAGCGCCCCACGGTGTAAAGGTGAACGCTTTGCTCTTGAGAAATCTCTGGAGAGGCAGAAATGTGGCTTGAGGGCTTCCTGGAGTGACAAGGCCAGACTCCTTCCAGGAAACACCTGTCCCCCTGCCTCTCCTTCCCTCCCGTTCTCTGTCCCTCCAGGTTTCAGGTCCTGGGCTCCTTCAGACCCAGTTATGCCTTTGCATCCTCATTCCCTTAGGGGTTAAATCCTTTATCAGGGCTAAAGATTTTATCAAAATCCTGAAATAAGGGCCAAGCTGGGGGGTCACCAAGTCCCCTCACCATTGCACCTGATGGGAGCTTTACTGAGAAACTCCTGGAGGACCAGAGAGCTGGGACCGAGGGGACCGGAGACGTGGTCCTGACTGGCTGCAGGCATGCAGGGAAGGCTTTATCTTCCCATCTTAGATGCTTCGGACCATGAAATTCCCTGGGGTTTTCCTGAATTGATATTAAAGATTACTTAAAATATGTTTTTTTATTTGGCTGTCTCTTAGAATCATGTGGAATCACTGTTTTCTTTCAAAGACCCTGAATAACCTCGGTTTGATCTTTCTGCAGCCAGCACATCAGAAGGGATCCGTTCTTCCCTGTGGCCTGTCTCTGTCCCTCTCACTGCAGGCTCTTTCACACTAATCAAATAATGCTTGTTCCGCCGATTTCCCTGGAGGTGGAGCCCCTGGGACTCCACACAAACAGCCCCAACTCCAGCAGAGAAGGTCACTTAATCTTGCGCCACCCTGCTAGTTGTCTTTTCTCGTGGCAGTGCGTGTGTGTCTTGATTTAGGAATAGTATGGCTGTAACAGATCTGGAAGGATCTTTGAGTGAGGTGTAATGCTGGAGCATCGGAGGTTCGTTCTTAGTCCCACGGTTCAGTATCGGTTCTGGATGTGAGGCCCTGTGATGGCCCCAAAAGCCACAGAGAGTGTGTGTGTGTGTGTGGGGGGGGGGTCCTCAGTTGTTTTTCAAACAGAATTTGTACAAATGATGTGGAAAACTATTCCATAGGAATGCCTTGTTTTTGCTTTCTTAATCATTGCTAATCAGAACTGAAAAATCTGTTACTGTCTGCCGGTAACAAGATGATCCCCCAGGATGACTTTGGGATCAGGGAAAGAAAACTGTAATTTTGGCTTATAAAATCACAGAATCCTAATATTTTAGATGGGGAGAACTTAGAGGGCACCGAGATCACAGCTTGCTTTCTGACAGATGCAGGAAAAGGAGCGCTTCAAATGAAAAGCAGTCACTTTCTAAGAGAGCGAGCCTGGCAGAGTAAACGTTTTCTGCTTTTAATTAATGCCATGAATAGTAACTGGCCTACCGGTTCCCGTGTGCTTCGTTAAGGTGGACAGGCTCCAGGGGTATTTTCCTTCTCCGTGGTTAGCATTCAGTCTCGTGTACAGCTCGCCAGTTAGAGACTTCGTAGTGAGAACAATTATTGGCGTTTTTATTTATTCATTTGGTAAAGTCTTAATAGAACTTAGTGCCCTCCACCTGGGATGTTGTGTTATATTACCTCTTCAATATCTGAAGCGAGGTGGTACTTTAAAACACCAAATTCATTTCGTGTGTGTGTGTGTGTGTGTGTGTGTGTGTGTGTGTGTACGCGCGCACGCTGGTTTTTCACATACAGCTTTCCAAAGACAGTGACGTGCAGCATACATAAAATATTCAAAATGCAGTGAAAGAACTGAAGAGCTGAGTAGTCATTAATGTTTCAGGATTCCATGCAGGAAAGAACCGTGGTCGGGTTCAGTAGCCTGGGCGCCGTGCCTCTGCACGCGCCAGAAGCTAGGCCCTTGCGGTTGGTCTGTACCTTGCAGGAATTGCCACGCTCTTGCCGTAGCTGGAGGTAATATGCTTTGGAAAGGCATCAGATTCCAAGAGAACCGGGACTGCTACCAAACCAACCATTGCCTCAAAAGAAGGGCTGGTTATATCTCACTTACATTTCTCTGTCTGTTGGGATTCCTTTCTTTAGGGTTATTTTCCTTAAGCTACAGAGCTGGAAGAGGTTTGTTTGCCTCTTTCATAGAGAAGGACTCGCTGCTCCACTGAACTTTCTGAATCGAGTGTACACCGTTCGTATATCCCTGGAGAAATCGTAGAGCAATTTTAAAGGGGGTTCATGTGTAGTACCATAAAAATATCAGCTTAATGATTTTGTGTGCAAAATTTTAAAGTTTAGTTTATCACATAAAATGATAACTTTGATCATTTCCTGAGGTTTCGACCGAACTGAATTCTCTGGCCTATGTTATCAATGTCTCTTGCCTGCTGCTTTATGAATTGTGGTAATCTTGCCTTAAATGAATAATAAATCTCCTAGTCTATGTAGCAAAGTACCATAAAAATATCAGCTTAATGATTTTGTGTGCAAAATTTTAAAGTTTAGTTTATCACATAAAATGATAACTTTGATCATTTCCTGAGGTTTCGACCGAACTGAATTCTCTGGCCTATGTTATCAATGTCTCGCCTGCTGCTTTATGAATTGTGGTTATCTTGCCTTAAATGAATGATAAATCTCCTAGTCCATGTAGCAATAGCGACTTTTTAGACTGTTATGTCGCTAGTAACAGAAAATACCTGCCCCTGGGTGATTTGTAGAGGCTCGAGATTTCTTCAGCTCAGTTCTGGAGGTCCGAGGTCCAGGTTCCACATCTGGCGGGGGTTGGTCGGTCCCGAGGCCACGTTGGTGTCACGTGGCAAGGAGCTTGAGCAGAACTTGTGCCCGTGTGTGTTTGTGTGTCCCTTATAAAGGGCCAGGAGGCAGTAGTGGGGACCCCACCCTAATGACCTTCATCCCAATCATCCATCCCCCAAAGGCTCCACTTTTCACCTGTAATCGGATTACATCTCCCCGCTGAGCACCGCACCTCAGCACGCAGACCTGGGGCGCATTCAGAGCACAGAGAGGACATCAGTTTCTGGACTGTCTGTAATAATTACACCCTCTTTGACTACCTAGAAGTATCTTAGTTCTCCACGATGGGATAAAAAAATCCTGTGATTTTAAAATGAACTGGTGAAAATATTAAAAGCATACTTCTAATTCTTTGTATCTTGTATCATTTAACAAGCCAAAAGAAAACAACCCATAGCTCCCATGTAGGATTTTTGAAATTAAAGCCATGAGGTTTTGGTCTTGATGTGAATGTAAACGGCATGCCAGCCAGTGCTGGCACCTCACAGACAGAGTACCCCACAGAAAGTTCCAGTCTGGAGCTCACAGAGAACCAGCTCTGTAAACCTCCGGCCTCGCAGGCCAGTGTGACAGGCCCAAAGGATCTCCTGCTTCTGCTCTAGGGTTGGGGCAGGAGGCGCTGGTGGCACTGGCCAGAGACCTGTTCTACCACCCCGTGGGCACAGGCCCCCAAAAAGCCACGGATCTGGCATGAATCGGGGTTCTCCTTCTGCACTGGCCACCTCCTGGGTGTCCATTTTTTAATTAATGATATGTTGCCAGGGGCAGGGAACCCAGGGCTGCCTGACAATTCCTCACACCGCACTCGGCACCTCCTTCTTCCCCTTGGGCTCAGCCACACAGGATGGCCTGGAAAAGCTGCGGCTGGCACTTCCGTCCCTCCTGCTGGGGGATGCTGAGCCTGCCTTGGTTCCCCTGCACCGGTGGTCCTTGTGCAGATGAGGAGACTGCAGCTCCACGATGTCGCGTTCACACAGCTTCGTGTTCTCGTAGCAGCTGATGGGTGGCCAGGCTCTGAACCCCGCCAGCCTGAGTAAAAGCTGCCAGGGTGGCAGGTCAAGCCTGGGGCCACTGAAGCTGCTTGCTGGTTCCAGACGGTCATTTACTATCTGTGACGTGTGTGATCATCACTGTTGTCCACCGAGCAGGGGTACCGGTGGCAGCAGGTGCTCAGGACATCAGGACTAAGGCATCCTCGAGGCTGAGCACTTGGGGCAAAATCGGTGTGGGATTCTAGGGATTGCGTTGCTGACATGCTGGTCTCTGGGATCTTAGATAAAGGAAGTGCAGATATCGCCACCCGTCTGGGTGTGTGCACTCCAGCTTGCTCAGTGATGTGGCGTATCGGGGAGGTCCACTTTACGGCTTCCCTGGGTCTACACACGTGTCACTGAGAGCACGTGCACACACACACACACAGCCCGTCTTCGGAACTGCTTCCAAAGTGCTAGACCTGGACCAGCAGTTGGCGTGATGGCTGTGTCGCTGGACTCCCATGTAGTAAACTGCGGTTTGAGTCCCGGACCCAGTGGCTTAAACTCATGCCGGGCATATGCGCATGTGTACCCAAGATCCTGAGAGGAGAATGGAGAAGGGATTGCAGCATGGCCATCCCCCCTGGGGGTGATTTCTCGCTTTCTATCTCTCTGTCTCTCTCTATCTTTCTGGCAAGCACACGTGCCCTGTAGCAAAAACCTCTCCAAAAAAAAAAAAAGCTAAACCTAGAAACAGCATTGTTCTTGTCACCGTAAAGCCACTGCATCTCTTCGGAAAAGGTGACGAAGATGGGTGGCCCTTTGGGTATCAGCAGCCTGTGGGGCTCTCACCTGTACTGCACAGATAGCCCTGTTAGTCCGCCAGGCCACAGTGGCAGTGCCAGGGCAGGGCTGGCGCCGCAAACACTGTCTTGCCTTCCGGAGACGAGAGATCCAGGGCTGAGGGCAAGCAGGGTTGGTCCTGAGGCCGCTCTCCGCCCCGTGCCCTCACCGTCACCCCTCTGGTGTGCTTGGTCCTCTTCTAAGAACAGCAGTCAGATCAGGGTCACTCCGTGGCCTCGTGACCTGGCTGTCTCCAGGTCACATTGAGACCCTAGTTGGGGGCTGGGAGGAGACAGGACCCAGCAGGTGGTCCTTCGCCCACTCCACATCTCGCTTCTCCGGAGGCTGCTGCTAGCTGGGAAGCCTCAAGGAAGGCCCAGCTGGGAAGGTGCAGGCGAGTCTCACCTGCAGATGTGACCAGGACCGTGGCTCGCGTAGAGGGAGCTGGGAGAGCGTGGCGCGCATAGCGGTGAGCAGGGCGTGGGTGAGCCGTCTGAGTCACTGAGGAGACTGGGTTTTTGTAGTGCTCCCATGAATCACCGTGTCGTTTGTGCTGCGTGCAGGGGACGGGGACGAGCATAACTGCCACCCGCGATGACTCTGCTGCTTGAGGTATCACTATGCTTGAGTGTTAGGAGGGAAATAGCCACTGTTCTCGCCAGTAGGGCAGG